TATGATGCCTCCCTTTAACTTTAAAGAAGGGGAGCCAACCCCTATAGCGCCTCCCTTTACCATTTATTAAGATTTTATTTGTGCACTCCTTTTACCTATGTCTCTCATGTCTCTCATGTTGTTGCACGAATAAAATCTTAATAAATGGTAAAGGGAGGCGCCATAGGGGTTGGCTCCCCTTCTTTAAAGTTAAAGGGAGGCGGCATATGGGTTGACTCTCATTCCTTAATGTTAAAGGGAGGCGCCAAAGGGGATGACTCCCCCTATAATTTATAAGGGTGCCTCCAACACCTATGGCGCCCCTATAAAAATAAAAATAAAAATAAAAAAAAACGTGAAACTAGGGTAGATTAGAATATATATTGAAATGTTGGGTATATTGGATTTTAGGGGGTGAAATGTTGGTTATTTAGGTGAAAATTTCCCTTTTTAGTCCCTTAACTTTACCTCTGTGTCCATTTTTGTCCATCAATTTTAAAAAGTTTCAAATTGATCCTTTAATTGTTCAAACAACGTCAATTAAGTCCTTTCCGTCTAATTTTCATAAATGACATCTATTTTTGCACTAGTGACATGCAACGTGGTGTGCATACGCGTGGCATCTATTCATCATTAAGAAAAATCAAATTTTCAATGAAAATTCTAAAACTTTTCCTTAAGCTAAGTTTTGAACCAAGGACCCCTTGGTTGCTATACAACACAGTTTACCACTAGACTACTACACCTATTGATAATTTAATTTACAAATGAAATATACATATTTACATTTCATATTTTTTTCATAAATCTTTGTCTTCCTCAATCACAAAGAAATTATTGTTGTAAACTCAATATTTGTTCTTATGTTTCAAATTCAAGGTTTTGCAACAATGGTGTTGTTTCTGTTGGCTTCAAATGTGTTAATTGTTAAAATACTTGCAATCAATTTTTGTTCTTTCTGATTAATCCCTATATTTCTAAATTTTGATTTCTCATTTATCTTTCTGATTTTGTGTTTATTCTTTTACACAAATTGAATTGCAATAATCAATTTGTATGTCTACATGATAATGAATCGGAAGATCCAAGAAATAATAATTATTTAGGTTTCACATCCAAACACAACCAATTTTTTTTGAACCGGTTCTAAAATTTTTCAAATTCAAACCTAAATTAGTGGCTTCCCTAAAAAATATGGGAATCTCTACCCTCCGAAAGGGGAATCGTTGCACGCTTCTCTTCTTTTTCAATTCTGATAACTATATATTCTGTTGAAGTGGCTTCTCAAGCAATAATCGGCCTTATTTTTCTCGACTGACTTTCAACAAAGATGAATGAAAAAATTTAAAGCCTTTTGAGCATCTTAGAAGTTAGATATCAGCAGGTATCATACTCCATTGCATATATTTCCATTTTTTCACATATTTTTGTTTTAAAATCACATTTGTTGTTGCAACTAAGCATATAGTTCTAGTTTGTAATATTAAAACAACAAATGTGAGGTGGCTTAGTGGTTTCATTCAACAATTAAGATAATTTGGGTTTGAATCTAGGCTAAAGGGAAATTTTTGGATTTTTTCTTGGATTTTTGATGGTTTTGGTGATACACATGTACCACGTCATATGCCACACATGCAAACATATGTAGCATCATCGCTAGGTATATGCCAAGTGACATCTATTTTGACTTTGACTAACGGAGTAAACAAAAAGGTCTAACGTGGTGCCGTTTGAACAATTAAAGGATCAACTTGGAACTTTTTAAAATTGAGGAACCAAAATGGACCATGAGGTAAAGTTAAAGGACCAAAAATGGTATTTTTCCCATAATTATAATATGATAGATAAAGTTATATTAGAAAAAACCATACATTCAATTTTAGACAAATATTCTTCAGCTTGTTATCTGCATTTCGTTCTTTCACGGTTAGAACTTTATTTAATGCTTATAGTTCTTCAACCACCATTTTATCCACCTCTAATTTTTTTGCCAAAGTAAATAATATTTTTAAAAATGAACTAGAGGTGAAGGAAGGGGAGATTGAAGAACTAGGAGTATTAAACAAAGTTCTAATTCTTAAAGAGTAAAATGCAGATAAGGAGTTGAAGAACTCTTATCTAGCATTGAACGTGAATTTGTTCTTCTAGTATAATGTTCTAGATCAGATTGAGAGGTTATATGTCTAGTGAGTATTAGAGAAATAAGCATTCCATATAATTTATAATAAACTCAGTGTATATATCGCAACGGTTGTTTATACCAATCGTTGTTAAATGTTACGCGTTAAGAATATCACAGTGGTTGTTTAAAGTAATCGTTGTGATAGGTAGCGCACTACCTAGTTTATAAAAATGGTCGCATGACCACGGTGGAAAGCATTATATATGCAACCATCCTTTACCTCACAATAGTTGGTCAGACGTAGTTGTATCCCTTTTCCAACCGTGTGAAATTGCTTTTATGTAGTAGTGTTAGTACAATTAGTCTTAGATGAACAAACCTTATTGAATGCGTACTTCATAATACTATCAATGTCTTTCTATTTTGCCCCCCCGAATATGAGACCTTTATCACTTTCTCTTAGTAACTATCCTAGTGATCTATGCTTTCAACAGAGTAAAGATGTTGAATTTCAATTCAACTAACAATCAACTTCTATGCCTTGAATATTAAGTTTAGGCTTCTTTAGAGGTTTACAATAAACCACAAGAATACAAAGACTCAAAGAACAAATCCTAACACACTAGATCTTCAATACTTGCATGTTCTTTTCGTTGGAATGAGTCTCCTTACACAACAAATCATATGTTCGACCATGGCAATTGAATTAAATGCAAACAAATTTGATTTAATGTAGATTTAAAATAGATGCATATTTGATTTTCTTATTAATTAATTTCCACTAAGAGATTTGGTCTCATTCAATTTGATTTGGTCTTGTACAATCTTTTTAGCCAATATTCTTTAAAAATAAACTGCTAAAAGATACACAACATAACCGACAAATCTTATTGGAATCAATAAAAAAATGCACTTAGATTTACTCATTGAAATGTTGCACACATGCTAGAGAATCATGTCCTGCATGTTGCCTCTTCACAAATTCTTTTTTTTCCCATGTTGTTTTACCTAAAGTAACCAACCAAAGGAAGAACACCACCATTTTATATTAATGCAAGCACTTTACTTTCAATTTGTTTTATCTTCTTTGCTTTAATTGCACTTTTATTGCTTTTCACTCTAAATGTTCATACTTTTACGCACATTTCCATTCTTTTCATGTTGTTTTTGAGTTCTCACAAATTAAAACAAAACCAACATTTTTAAACACATTGACTTTTCTTAAAACATTCATGCATAAATATGTCCTTGATATTTTTCGAGTTTAATCTCTTAAGTGAACCAAACTCATGATTGCTTACTAAAAATACCAAAAAAACAAATTGGCACTTCCGGTAGGACCTGTTATATGCATTTTAATTCAAGGGTTTTTGCAGAAAACTGTTGATTTCTTCATATAAGTATTTGAGTATGTATGTGTTTGAGAAGTGGTAAGGTTAAATGGAAAATAGTAGCAAGAAAGTAAAAAAAAATACTTCCCTACCACAAATATGGAAGAACAACCAAATAAAATGACGGTTGGTGGTGTGGGAACTTCAACCAAATATGGAAGAACAACCAAATAAAATGACGATTGGTGGTGTGGGAACTTCAACATCAGTTGAAGTAATCACTAAAGAAAATGTCAATTTTGACGGTATCGCATGAAGTGGCAGTTTCCCTACCACATATAGCGAGTATTTCAATAAGTTATTTCAATAAGTTTGGACGGTACCGCATGAAATGACTTTTCTTTCCAAAATTAATGCAATGAAGTTTACTTATCTTATAATTGTAATATAATTTTAATTTAATGTATTGACATTTTATTAATTAAGTAAATAACATATTTATTTGATAATTTTTCTAAGAGCAGTTCGAGATGTAGATTTTTCACGTGATGCTCCAGCGTGGAAAACGATTGGAGTTGGCATGGCTGACCAACATAGCAATGCAATGCAACAGTTACTTAAATAAAATTGAAAAATTGGCCGTTATGCAACAACTACTTATTTTTTCTCTTTCTTTTTTTTTATAAAAATTTTGATTGATTATAAATAAATCTTTGAAAAATTTTACACACAAATTTTCTCTCTGTGTTATTTTCTCTTAAACTTTCAATGTTTTTCTCACAATCTTCTTCACTTTACTCTTAATTTTTAAATTTTTCTCTTACAATTTTTTCTCATTAGCCTTTATTTGACAAAATATTATATCTAAATTTTCATCTTTTTATTTCAAAATTAATATTGTTTAGGCCAAATGGATCCTAATCAATATAATTTTCAACATTCTATATTCAATTTTTGCAAAATTATCAAAATCCTAATCCTCAAAATTCACAATTCTCATCGATGCCAACAAATTCTGCCACATTTTTTCCGTCACCAAAAAATTAAAATATGTATGTTAGACCTCAAATAAATAATCATGGGATGAAACTTTTTCATGAACCAAAAACTCCGATTGGATTTATGTTTGAATGTCAAGTTCCACCATTTTCACCTCAAACCGGTATTAAAAAAGAAGAAATGTGTGTAGTTAAAAAAATATCGAGAGCTATTTACAAGGGACGAGGATACACTTCTTATGCAATCATGGCTCAATGTTTCAAAGGATCCAATTGTGGGAGTTGATAAAATTTTTTTAAGAGTTTTTGGTTATGAATCGCTGCCAATTATAACCAGTATCGTGGGCAATCGTGAGAAAAGCTATGTGGGAAACTAAAATATCGATGGCATCGAATAAATGGATTGGTTCAAAATTTTGTTAGGTGTTACAAGCAAGCTGTTAATGAAAAGAAAAGTGGGACATCGTAGAAAGATATCTTAGCCGCTGCACATTCTTTGTTTGCTCAGGATGAAGTGCACCATTAAATCTTGAGTATGCATGGCGATCATTAAAAGATGAACCTAAATGGATGGGAGCATCGACTAAATATTCTTCAAAAAGAACAAATACTTCTGCTAGTGGGGCACACTCATCGTCGTTTAACCCAGAGACACCTTCAAGTTATGACTATAATTTATCATCACCAATGGAGTGTCCAATGAGACAACAAGTAGCAAAAAGGAAGGGTAAGGCAAGGGAAAATGCAAATACATTTGAATCGCCTTCTAATGTTGAGCAAGATACATGGCATAAAAGAGTAGCAACAATAGAAAGACTAGCTCAATGTAAGGAGGAAGAGATGGAGTTTAACGCAATGAAATTCATCAAATCAGACACTTCTACGATGAATGATTGTCAACTGAGTATTCATAAAAAATATTGTAATAAGTGGAAAGCAAAATATGGACTTTAGTTAGGATGAAAAGTTATAGGACTTGTTATGTATCAATACTTATGTAAAATGCTCATTAGTACCATTTTAATTTATAATAAATATTATGTTGTTATTTAAACTAGGCGTTATTCAAAGTAGTTATTAGTTAAACTACTCGTTATTCAAACTAGTCGTTAGTCAAACGAGTCGTTATTCAAACTAGCCGTTAATCAAACTATCAGTTATTCAAACTAGCCGTTAGTCAAACTAGTCCTTATTCAAACTAGCCATTATTCAAACTAGCTGTTTGTAAAACTAATCGTTATTCATATATCAATTTATATACTATCACTCTTCTTATTTTGCTCTCATTTTTCTCTCATTCTCCACTCACTTTAATGGATTCAAACAATTTAAATGATCTCAACAAACTCTTTTGGGACTTGATTGAAGAAGAATTTATGGACAACACTGATGGAGAACTACTAAAGTCAATGCTTGAGAAGGAACGTCAATCTGAAAGTTCCTCTAGGCTAAAGAGAAGAATAGTGATAGATCGAAGTCTTGAAGAAGGGCACAACCTATTATTCAATGACTACTTCTTGGAAAATCCAGTATACACAGAGGTTCAATTTCAGAAAAGGTTCAGAATGCATAAGCATGTGTTTCTTTAAATTGTAGATGCCATTGGAACTCATGATGAATATTTCCAAATGAGGATCGGTGCAACTGGTAAAATTGGTCTTTCACCGTTGCAGAAATGCACATCTACTATCGTATGTTGGCATATGTGTCTCCCGCTGACATTGTTGACAAATATGTACGAATCAGTGAAACCACTTTAATTGAGTACTTAGAAAGATTCATTTGGGGCGTGAATGTTGTATTTGGTGTAGAATATTTGAGAAAGCCTAACAACACTTATGTTGAACATCTTTTACAAATGGGAGAATCATGTGGCTTTCCAGATATGTTGGGTTCCATTGATTGTATGAATTGGAATGAAAAATTTGTCCTATTGCTTGAAAATGACATTTTTGTGGAGGTGATCATTGTAATCCCACAATTATGTTTGAAGCAGTGGCATCGCAAGAATTATTGACACTAATGTGCTAAATCAATCCAACGTGTTTAACGATATTTTGGAAGGACACGCTCCCGCTGTGCAATATACAATCAATGGAACACCATATAATATGGGGTATTATTTAGATGATGATATATATCTTGAGTGGGCTACATTTGTCAACACCATTTCAATGCCGCAGGGAGAAAAGAGAAAACTATTTGTACAACATCAAGAATTAGCTAGAAAGGATGTGGATCAGGCATTTAGAGTGATACGATCTCGATTTGCAATTATACGTGGCCCGACGCGTGGCTGACACATGGAAACCCTTAAGCATACCATATATGATTGCATCATATTGCAAAACAAGATTGTTGAAGATGAATGACACACATATGGAGGTGATTTTGATTACTTTTATGATAATGTAAATAACAACTACTCAACATCTAAAACATTTAACGGTCATCATCCAAATCTTGCAACAAGACTATAAAGAAGAGCAAGTCTTCGTGAAAAACAAATTTATCGCCAACTTCAAGAAGATCTAGTCGAGTATATTTGAGAATATTTTGGATATGAGGATGATGAAATTTAAATTTGAATAATTATGTAATGTTATTAATTTTTATTATTTTCAATATGTCATGTTTTGAGATTAATTTTATTTATCATTTTAAAATTTAAATTTAATTTATTTTATGTTAATTTTAATTTAAATAATTTAAATAATAAATTTAAATAAAATAAATTTAATATGAATAAAATATTAAAATATAAAATAAAATTACGAGATCTAATATAAATTCTTTAGAGTTGTATTATCATAATAAAAATTGATGAATTGCTTCAAAATAATGTGTCATAATGAATTAAAAAAGAAAACCAAAATGAATTGTACAGTGTATAAACTTTTAAACACAAGTTAAAACACTCAATGAATGTGACCCACAAGTTAAAACTAAAATTTGCAGAGTAACATGAAATAATTGTAACATAAATCTTCGTACATGATGTATATTTAATAAACTAGAAAAGATTGACTGCAAGATTTATGATACAGAAAACAAAAAGGACAGTCTTAGATGAGTCAAAGGCAATACACAGATAAGTCCAAGTAGTGTATTTCATACGTATTGCAGACACAGACAGACAGAGCTGAACACCAACGATGCCTGCAGGTGTGTGTAAATGCATGCATCTCCCCTACCACACAAAGGATAACAATTGCAGTGAGTTTTGTCAAAATGAGTTACATATAAACCCACGGGTCAAAAGCATTACCCAACAACTATATTACATGCAATATTATATAATTTTTTCTAGTTTGCTAATATTGTTTTTAATTATTGAAGATATATCCAAATCTATATAACATCAAATAACCTAACTTTGTTTTATTAAATAAAGTCGGTTATATCAATTTCTATCTTTGCTTCTTTTATAATTTTTTTAGTTTTTTTTTTACTCATCTTTATCTGATTTATTGATTTTTTTTACATATTCAAAACATATAAATTTACCTTTTTTTACCCGCTCAAAACATATAAATCTACTTTTCATTTTCTTTGTAGTAGGTTATCTCAACACTCTATAATATTGATATATTTTTTCAATTTAGCGCGCTTAATTTTATGATATATCTAATATAGCAACTTCATATTTGATACGTTTATTTTATTATCGTGTTGATTCCTGCAACGTCTTTTTAGCGCATTTTATTTTATTTTTTAAATATTTTATTTAATAACCAGCATATATTAGTTGTTTATTTATAAAATAACAATGATTAAGACATTGTCATCTCACCAATTCACATAAAATATTAGCGATTCGCATGAAACACACATCAACCAATATATTAGAACGTAAATACCACAATCTAATCTATTATCTTGAAACGTTGAATGTAAAGTGTTAAAATGCAAATACCACATATAATAAAAACATACACAAATAATAAAAACATTGAATGTAATACAACATCATATATTAAGATGGATTGCAGAGTAGAAAAATATTTTAAGAAAGGTTCCTTAATATATATTTTTTTGTAATTTTTAAAATTATTTTTTGAAAGTAATATTTATTAAAAATGTTTCTTTTATAAATTTTATTAAAAATTTAAAATATTTAATGTTAGCTAGGGAAAACATGAATGCAACTTAGTAGTGATGTTGTTACGGTTAAAAATATTGAAATTTAAATACTTCATTATTTTCTAACATTAAACCTTTTTTTTACAAGAATATATTAAAGATAAACTTTTTAACTATTTTAAAAGAAGAGATTACATTAAATAACAAACATTGATCACAATGTTTTTCTACTTTTGTAATATATCTTAGAGAATAATTTTATAGTTTTGATTTTACTTCGGTAGAAATATTACCCACGAAAAAAAATTGATGATTTTGTAGATTTGATTTCACTTTAGTTGAAAAATCAAATGAAAAAAAAAGGAAAACTTTTCATTATAGTCTTTGTTTATCTCCAAAAACGGGATAAAATTCATATTTCAACCGAGATAAAAAAATCTGTTTGTAATAGTGTTTCTAACTCATATAAATATGATTCTTCGACTCTCTAAATAAAATATATTATTTACATAAAAAAACATATTTTTTGGTGTCATTCTTCCATAAATACATCCAAAATTAAAATAAATTAATAGTGGTTTAGGGTTCAAACTCATGTAGTATAACATGAAATATATAATTATAATGTTTATAGTACTATAAAAGTACTGAAGTCTTATCTAGTGATAATGCTTAAAAAGAAGTGTATGAGATTCTTGACTATAAATTTGTACAGTAATGTTAACTACTTCGAGAATTCATTGCTGTCAACAAAGTAAGAATGCAAAAGGCTATGATGGTGATAAATATTATGATAAAGATAGGTTGTGTTTTAGACTGCAATCACTATTAAGGCATAACAGTGAGTGAGTCAGTAACATTTCATACGCTGATTCATACAATAAAAGGACTGAGTTCAGAATGACCTCATTGTAAATTTAATGTTTCTTCTGCAACTTTGTATTGGAATTGGTTTTTTTCATACAGTACTTTTTCTGTTATTTCCTGGATGTTAACTTAATCTTAGCTTATTTGGTTTATTATAAAATTTAAGTGTTTGTTTTTTTAGTCTTCCTAGATTTAAATTATGAGTTTAGCCTTATACATGGAAGGTTAGAATTTTAGAAACCAAAGTCTTAATCATACATCATATGTCTTGTTAGTAGCCAAAATTACTAGAAGCCCTTTCACCATGTTCTTGACATTAAATTGAATGGGACTTTTAAAATTCAAAATGACCAAATTCTGAATGCCGCCCAGCCAACACTGATGAGTGAGTAGTATGAAATTGAGTAATCAAATAGACAAAGAATTTTATGTGCGAAATAAAGAAAAATGACGATATCAAATAATGTATGTAAATCCATAAGAAAGATAAAATAAAATAAAGAATATGTACACATATAATTTATTTATTTATGAAGTTCGATCAAACCATTACTTATATCAATTTTGAAAAAAATAAAATAAAGAACATTACGCACATGAATTTGAAATATTTGCTTACATAAATTTAATGAGGCTCGTGCAACCCCAATATTTAATTAGTTCCACAAGTGGTAAGAATACAAAAAGAAAGTCCTTAGGGGCATAATTAATCATTAAAGAAAACTTCTCGCGGCATAGTTAAAAAAACCATTGAGGTCAGGGTTAAAAAAAAGGAAGCTTTAAATGATGGAAATAAATAGCTCAGAGTCCTCTTTCATAACCATTCTTTCTACAAAAACGATCTTCTAGCGAGTAGAATCCTCTCTCGTGAGTTTTCTCCTCTCATATCTTGTTGCCTTTAGGTTTAGTTTGAGCGCCCCCTATAATACTCTAATTTTCACCTCTACGATCCTACATGTCATTTGCATCTCATCCCACAAACATGATTGCAAGTTTTGGTTCTTTTGCTTTCCTCTGCAGGTTTGTTCTTGGGAGATCAACGAGCACCTTTGTTTTTTTGCTTGTTTGGTATTTTGTTTATGTTTATGTTTACTAACCATTGATTAAAATCTAAAAAAAAAAATGTTGTTTTTCCTTTACTAACTTTTTCAGGAAGAATTTGGATCAAAGATATCAAATATCAGTCCCTCAGCTCGAGTGAATTTCATATGAAAAAAGTCGAAATTGATCCGCAAACAATTCAAAATCATCTGATCAAGAGTCACTACGCCAGAAATGAGTTTTAGCAGCGCTTCTTAAAAAAGCGCTGCTAAAGGGTGGGTAAAAAAAAAAAAAAATTTCCCACCTAAGACAGCACTTTTGAAAAAGCGCTGCTAAAGGGGGGCCCTAAGAAAGCGCTTTTTAAAAAGCGCTGCTAAAGGGGTGGCCTAAGAAAGCGCTTTTAAAAAGCGTTGCTAAAGGGGGACCTAAGAAAGCGCTTTTAAAAAGCGCTGCTAAAGGTGTCCCCTTTAGCAGCGCTTATTCTATAAAGCGCTGCTATATGGCATTGCTAAGGCACCCTAAGAAAGCGCTTTTAAAAGCGCTGCTAAAGGAATTTAAAAGCGCTGCTAAAGGGGGACCTAAAGGGGGACCTAAGAAA